ACAAATAAATCGCCCCCGGAGGAATGGAAGCCTTGCTTGCCAGGGCCCCCCCCCCCCCATCCCCCTCTCTTCGCCCCCATTACGGTCAGGTTATGTTTGTGAAGGTTCAGTAGATAGCAAAAGCGCTCAAGGACGCTAGTTTTCGAGAGCAATGACATGTTTAGTCATTTCTAACCTGGTGGTATGAGTTCTGTTGGTTCTGTTAGGACAGCACACTTGCGCGCTTTTAGACAATTCAAGTCCTCTTTAGTGAATATTGTTTTTCCATCGCTGCACGGATATATGAGATTCTGCCGCAGAAAAATAAAATTTCTTTTTTCTTAATGTAACAAATGTTGACCTAAGCATTCTACAATGCCTACCCAGTTCGATTCAACCATGTTAACGTTTTTGCTTCCAGTTTGATGACCGCGACGAGTCCTTCTACGACGCTGAAGACGCTTTATCATCTCACAAATCATCGCATGGATGTAACGTATCGGCAGTACATTCAGGGGATTCGGTTGATTTCTCGACTAGCCTGACTAGTGAGGAATACTTCGAGGCAGCTTCGGAAATATCCAGGCTTCACCTCAAAAGAAGCTGGAGCTGCGACAATATGGCGAAGGATGAAGCATCAGATTTACATTTCGGACGCCCAAACGGTTCAGCTCTTGAGATCCGCTTTTCCAACCGGCTAACTTTTGGTCTAATAGGAGATCGAACTGACAAACATGAATGTCCCTTGAAACAGCTCAGAGAACGAGTCGCGATGGATTTGAAAGAAGGAAACGGGTGCACGGCTCTGTACTGGTTGAGAGGCTGGAAAACCTTCCGTGACAGTTCAATACCCAGGTGGAGAGGATTTAGCAGAGGAAAGTTCTCTGGAAGGAGCTCCCAATATATTCCGAAGCCGAAAACACTAAAACAACGTCAAGAAAGCATCCGTAAGTTCTTCCACTTTTACTGAGGGGTGGGGGATATGTGAGCTCCTAGGTCTCACTATGGGCCGTTATTCTCTGAAGTGAATTTGCCGATAGTATGTAGCATGTAAAACGGCAAAATCTTCATCTTTGGATCTGAAGTTACTTATTTGCTCCAATCTGTGAACAAAGTTTCATTACTCACTCCTAGGCTACCATAACTACTAGCACCAACACGGATTCTTCTACTTTCAGTCATCGAATTTGGCGAAAGTAGAAAGATTAATGACTAGTGACCACAAGTATTTTTGCATGAAAAGCTCGAAAAAAGAAATTTGAGGCAAACTACAATTCCTACCTATAATCAAAGGAAGAGTTCACGATAAGCTGTGATATCCAGTTTAAGTGATATAGCGTAAGTTACGGTATGGAATAGTGAACAATGGCGAAGAGCTTGAAAATAAGCGAATTTCGAGAAATATAAGGCCTCATAAAGTAGTAAAAAAAAAGGGGTGGACGAGATTATGTGTCTATAATCAGCGATGTATTTTCCCACATAAAAGCTTAATATTGGTCGGTGCTCCAGCGCTTAATTGTAAATCCAACATCCTACGTGCTATCCTTTGGTTGCAGGCTCTGGGGAACACTAGTTACTGAATTTGAAAGTCAAATCTCGTAAGGGATGGTTTTCGATCCAAGATTTCTTGCTGAATTCTTTGCTTTGCTGTGGTGATTTCTCTGCTTGCATCTTATTAGAACGAATTTTAGTTCAATATTCCTTTGTTCTTATAGAGCAAGATTCTCAAGATCACACCGACAATCGAGAGCAGACCGAAACGACTCGGAAGAAAGATCCCAAGCAAATAAGGTATTGTTCGCTTGAATCAGAAGTGGATGCCAACTATGGGTATAATCACCTGATGTGATAGTAAGATTACATCTTGGTACTTCTGTTTCAAGCAGTTCATAAGAACCGTTTCATATGAAAAACGCAATATGAAGGTGCCTTCTCCCTTCAGTCCATCAGACATTTCCATTGCTTTAGTGTTTCTCGAAGATTACGCTTCTTTTCTCTTTTTTTTCTCACGCTCATTCCTCTCTGTTTTTCGTTCTTACTTACTTTTTTTGCTTTTTGTTCAGAACTATGTCAGGATGAACAAAAAAATATCAGAAAATTTGGGTCGTTTGATCCCTTCCTGAAATGCGCCATGCGTCGACTTTTGTTAAAATCTTCCCAGCGTTTCTCGCTCAGCTATTTGCAATTCGCCTAGCCTAGGCCAACCAATTTTAATTTACTTGTTTATATATACACATATTTATTTATTTGTGTGTATATGTTCTGCTGAGAATCCTTCAAATAATCGGGGCGACGAAATTCGTCTAATGATTCAGCAGCTATGTAGTCAAAATCATCTCCCGAGAATGACAAAGACTTGCTTCTGTGAGCCATACCCCATGACTTTGATTTTTTTTT